CATGTGCTACGCCTTTTGAGTTGACGATGTATGCCTGAATAACTGGATGTTCCTGCTGTTGGGTTAGTGTCCGTCAGTATCTGATCATCTCTATCTATCCTATCCAGCTCAATCTCAACTCATCATCTGTCTACCCATTCATCTATCTAACCTAATCTAAACATCTCTCCGGTATTAAGGGACAAACACTTGAGGAAGTCGATTCCAAGCAAGCTTCCCGAGGCGCACCTCGGCTGGAGCCTCGAGCTTGGACGAACGCAGGTTCTTCTTGTAGCCCTTGTTGACGGTCTGAACAGCGCCCAACTCCGCGACCATTTTAGAGCGAACCGAAGTACCGTTTCTAGAGTCTAGAGGGTAACCTGTTTCTTGTTGCGGCAGCCTGTGCATCCATCGACTTGCGGCGCTCGTCTTCGGCAGATGACCGCCGGTCTTTGCCTCCAGCGCTGACCACGGAGTCTATAAGCACGCACGAACAGAAGCAAATGTTCCAGAGATGGCGGGTGAAACACCGGCCGACCATGCGGAACAAGTTGCAAACCAGTGCAATGGAGGATGCACAGTCGTCGATATTGTGCAGGAATTGCATTAGACGCAGGCTTATGCCCACATGCTGAATGCCGGAAGATTCTGGTCTCAATGCCAAACGGCAAGAAAACTGAAACAAAAACGCAGTTCTTCCTAAACCCAACCTGACAGCCGCAACAAACTTAAGCCTGAAGGCCCTGAACCGCTCGGAATTGCAAACTCCACTCCGAACATCCCTCAATCCCAGTCGAACCCTCTCGGTGCGAGGCCCAAGGACTGGCGATCACCTCTTTCCCTGGGCATCAGAAGTGTTAAGCACATCACAGTGGAATGAATGGTCATACACTCATACCACTCTAAGTTTTCGTTCTAGCACCAGCTCTGGGCCAAAGGGCTTCGCAGCAGGACTCTGGTAGGCTTGGAGGGATTCTGGTCATCAGGAGGAGCTTACATGGTTGAGATCAGCGGCTGTGCGGCTCAGAGAGAGTTCATTGCGGGGCTGTTTTAATCGAAAGAGAGGACAGCAGGTCGGCATTTCTCGACGGAGGTTCATGACGGTGTTGCAGGGCGTGTAAGCAAAGTCCCGATGCGCGACAATGGCACAGGAAAACTTGGCTCCCTCCTTAGAAACGGTAAGTCGCACACCTCCATCTCTTGATGCCAAAGATGCCAGCCACCACCAGGAGCACACCAAGCACCTGCACACGAAAGCTGAAGAAGCTTATCCCCCAGGAATTTACCAGTGCGCTTCTGGAAGCAAGTCCGTCTGACCCAGGCTCCGACGGGCATCAGGAGCCAGGTGAGGCCACCGCCGCCACCATTCCGCTCCGCCTGCTTGCATGCGGTGCCATCGGCGCATGGCCACGAGGTGCAGGAGATGCTTTGGGTATTTCGGTTAGAGGATGTGAGAATTTAGGGCACCACACAACATGCACCTGCCGGACTTCGCGGTCCGTAAAAATCTCAGAAATGGAGGAGTGCAAGGTTGTACGGGATGAGCTTTCGAAGCCGTGAAAATGGGAAAGGAGGATGGCGTGGGGGCACGGCCGATGGCCGATGGTCGCTCCCTGGCCTGCGCTTGGGCTGCTTCCTCTTTGCTGCCAGCCTTTCTCTGGCGGAATCGCATGACATCTGCTGACGCCTCTGCAGAAGCCCAAAGCCCAATGAGGGTGCGGCAGGGGGCGCAGCAGCCGAAACGACCCTGCAAGGGAAGGCCACTTGAGTCACGGCAACTGGCGAAGCACGAAACTCGGGTCCGGACACAGGCGGTGTCGCATTGGCTCCACTGGAATTTGATGCCTTTCCTTCCCCGTCCTTCTCTTTGTCCTCGGACTCTTTGGTGGTTCCTGCTACCGTGGTCGCTGCTGCAGTGGTAGCTGCCGCAGTTGTTGGCGCAGCCGTCGTGGCAGCCGCTGTCGTGGCAGCAGCCGTGGTGGGAGCTGGCGTAGTTGTTGATTTCTTCTCCTCTTCATCACCATCATCAGACGTGCCCGTGGCGAAGGGCACATTGCCCTGACCCATGGACATGCCGTTTACCATGCCCGTGGACATTCCACCCATTCCAGCAGCAGGGTTCATGACCTGTCAAGAAGCAGAACGCTTGTCCATGCAGGCTTCCCCGCAAAACCGCTGCGGGGCAAACGATGTGGCAGAACCCCAGCAAAAACTTGACGACGGTACCGCGGGCATCTGCTTCTGTTGGAGCAAGCTGCCATTTGCTGTGACCTGGCACTCGTTAAAAGACTTTTGAGATTCATCAAGTGTTCCCTGGTTCTGCACTCCAGACCAGACAAATGGTCAGTTAAGCTGCTGGGTTGAATGACTAGCTGACAGTGGCTGCTGGACTTGTGCACCCAGACTTCCAAAGACAAAGGCTGGAATTCTCAAACAGAGTACCGTGAAGACAAAGTGGTGCCACAGACACCGGTGCTCGCCACTGGTTCTACTGCTGAACACTTTGGTCTTCGTTCATATGTGAGGTGCACAACGAGGAACTGTAATTAATGCACGGCACCTGCAACAGCAGAGCCCAGCCATCGTCAAGCTGGGCGTCCTTTCGCATGAGCCGGGGGTTCCTGAAAGCCCAGTGCATCTCAGGCGTTTGACTTCGGGAAGTCGGGGAGCGCAAGGCCGAAAGCATTATACGTAAGTGCTTCGTGTCAAGGCTTCGGATTCGGGATACACGATGACTATGGAAGGTTCGGGATACACGATGACTATGGAAGGTCCGGTGCAGGTTTCAGTACGGTTAGGTTTCATGTTCGGAGCTGCTTCTATATCCATATCCAACGTAGCCGTTACGAACCTTGAGTCGGAGCCTGCTTCAGAGGATACAACTTCAACCTCCACTTGTGCTGCTTGCTAAGGCCGCCAAACAACGTCAACTCGCGGCCGCGTGCTCTGAGACTCTGAAACCTTTCAGCCGCAAGGTGACATCAACGACTTCGCTTGCCCAGCACTTCCGGCGCAGCGGAAGGGACGGTGTTCGACCGACCCTCGGCTGCCGGGATTCCGTCGGAGAGGAACATCGACGCGGCGAAGTTGCAAGCGGCACGACCCAGCAGACTGAAGCTGCCGAAGAGCATCAGCGCCCTCGAGAGGGCGCAGGAGTCATCGCAGTCCGGGGCCAGGTTGAAGTCGCTCAGCTCACCAGCCAAAAAGGGGCCGATACCCATTCCAATCGACCAGCACGTCTCCAGAAGCCCTTGGGCAGTACCTCGCCGGCCTACACCCAGCCTCTGTACGACAGCCTGCACGCCCTGCCGAAAGCAGCCCACCACAACACCCAGGGCGGTAAAGAAGATCAGTACAGCAAAGGACGGCCCTAGGATGGCGGCGATGCCACACAGCATACCGAGTACATCGCCGAAGGATGCAAACCAAAGGTTGACCCTGATGTCGCCATGACGGCGGAAGACGCGATCGACCAGGTGACCGATAACAAAGCTGCTAACCACCCCTGTAACACCCAGTACAGGGCCCATGACAAGGCCGATCTGTGCTGCTTCCACACCGTGACGGCGCTCGGTGAAGGCCGACAGGAAGCGACCCTGCCCAGAAAGCATTCCGGTGCACATTGCACCCAGCATCAGGAGCCTGAGAGGCCGCAGGGACAGCAGTTGCCGCACATCAGAGCAGACACCCTCCTTCGGAGGTGCCTCCTCTGCCGTTCGTGGCACCGTGAAGCAGAAGAGCAGTGCGACGATGACCTGCGGGGATGCGACGACCCAGAAGGCCCATCTCCAGCCGCGGGACGTGACCAGAACTCCTCCAGCGGCAAAGCCCATAAGGCCACCGAGAGCACTGCCTGCGTGGTAGTAGCCCATGGCCGTAGCCATCTCCTCGGCAGCAAAGTAGTCGGAGAGCAGGGCCAAAGTCACAGGGTAGCCGGCGCAGTTGGCCACGCCGGCGAGCAGGCGACAGAGCAAGGTCACCTCGAAGGACGGCGAGGAGCCGGTGGCAAAGGTCGCCACGGCCCAACCGAAGACTCCGGCACCAATGAGCCGAGCCCTTGGGACGTGGTCCGCAAGGCGACCGACGCAACCCGTGGCAAAGGGCACAATCCAAAGCGAGGCTGAGGCCAAGAGCCCCACCTGCGCGTCCGTCAACTTGAAGTCCTCCTTCATGGACTCCATGGCGATAGACAGCACCGTGCGATCTAGCCATTCGCACATCACCATCATCGAGCAGCAAGCCAGTACCCAGTGACGACGTTGGAATCCGTCCTTGTAAAACCGTGATGTCTGCTTCTCCGACTTCTCCTCGGAGGCACTGGCCGCGGTGCTCGCAGAGGGACTGTGACTGCTCGGAGATGCCGCAGAGATTGGGGTGGGAAACAGCTCTGCCCCCACCTCGTCCTCCTGCAACTTGGCATACTGCGCCTGGATCTCATACCAAAGCTTGCTGTTCTTAACCATGCCTGCCACATCATCTGTGAAGCTTTTCACAGAGAGGCCCACATCTCCATGGCCCGCAGATAGGCGTAAACCACTGTGTATGCCAGTCCCTCGTTTCCCGCCTGAGGGCTTGAAGAGCCCCTCAAAAAGATCTAATGACATCAGAAAACTTCGAAAAAACACTCTACATTTCATCAAGATGCAAGTCTGAAATCCTGGGGCCTATGGGGACAACACTCGGCAGCCCTGGAGCCTCAGGAGAAAGAGAAGCTACGGCACAGCCCCGGGCTCCCGAACCGGGTGGAATGCCTCTTCAAAGAGGAAGGACTGTTTGTAGAAAACTTTAGAGAAACCCAGTCTGTTCACGTGTTTTTAGCTTCAACCGTTTTGGGGTTCAGGGCACCCCACACCCCCCCTAAACCCTCAAGCCCAGCTTGCCTTTCGATGCCCTCCGACTTGTGCAAGGCCAAGGCAAGCACAGCCAGCCTGGCACATCCCAACACTCCAAGACGAGCAAAGGTCTGAATCCCGGAAGCTACGGGGAAGCCCTCCCAATGGCCCCAAGTGAGCTGGATCCAGCTTAGCTCCTCTCAGACTTTGCGGGGCCGGCCTGAGGCGCCATGCGGGTCCTCCTGAGGCCTCCCGACGCCCGGATCTTTCGGGGGAGTTCCAAGCTCGATGGGGCCCGGAAGAAGGATCAGAACGGGGTTGAGGGGTTTAGGGTTTATCTTCGAATTTCGGACCAAGAGCCATCAAGAGGTACAACCACAACAGTCAGAAGCCTGACCAGAAAAGGCGACCGCAAATTACTCACAGCCAGGAAGATACAGTCCCCTCATACCCAAAACCATCAATCGAAACCCAACATCCTCGACACAAGGTGGCCCTTGATCCCCGCAATGACTTGGTAAAGTTAAGACGAAGCTCTAACCCCCTTCAAGAAAACACAGACCAGGAATGTACCAGGATCCCAGAAAGCTGAGCCTTTGCAGCTGGGCCGATTTGGCTTCGCTCAGAAACATCACGATGGGCTGGAGCACATTGCCTGCTTTGGACACGTTTGGAGAGGGAGGGGGTTGAAGGATCTGGAACAAGAATGTACACTCCTACTCCCATGCCTTTCCTCTACCAACGCCCTTAGCAGCAAATGCCCTAACTCGCCAAACCCGGAAACAAGCCAAGCGCGCCTCAGCATGGGCTGCTCCTTGGCCTGGCCAAGTCTTTGGACGCCCTAAGAGCAAAAACAGAGGAGTACCTCATCACGGCGTCCCGCTGCCTTTCTGATGAAGTCCTACTACTCAGCATGCTGCGAGGCTTCGAGGATTCTTGAAACTTATACATAGTTGGATCCTTTGAGTCCGAAAACTCCTGGCCCCCCAAAACCTGAAAAGCCTCCAACCTGTCTGTAACTCTGCAAGTCCGCAGAAAGGCACCCAACAGATGCTTCGAGGTTCAGCCTTCCGCCTTTCTACACCCTGGCAAGGAGATCCTTAACCTTAAAGACGGCCCGTCCTAGAAAGAAAAATGGTGGCTGTGGGTGAAGATCCAGGCCACGAGGCTTTCAATCAACACCTCCCAGTACCAGCAGCCGGGCCTTTGCATGGATGTCTGGATTGGGTAAACCTGCGCAGCTTTGCCAGAGTCAACATAGTCTTCGCTGAATCAGTACGCACTGAACACAGCGAAAGAACACCAAGACTTAGGGCATCGGCCTGCTCGTGGATGCCAAGGCGCCAGCCCGACACCACCGTCAGAGCTTGGGCCGTTAGCTGACTCTCTGCTGAATCAGTTGAATGTATGTTCGTGTAGCTGTCATGTCAACGCAGAATGTTGTGGCAAACCGCAATGCACGCCTTTTCTTCAGTCCGTCCCCGGGATGTGTCAAACTCCTGTCTAGCCAGCTGCACACCAAAAAAAGAGCTTCTCAGTAGGTGGCCACTTTTTTGGACTGGGCCAGGTAATCGGTGAACTCCTGGAAAGGCGAGTTCGTGAAGCGCGTCGCTGTCCACAGATCCGGGGTGAGGTACCCGTACGTGGCCTTCAGCGCCTCGAACGTTGCCTTGGCGAAGTTTGCCGTCGTCCTGGTGTGTCCACAGGAGCAGGTGAAGCAGTCAGAGATGCCGGCGAAAGCCATCATCTTCTTCATGACTGGAGAGCCTACGATGCCGGAGCCGCGTGGAGCAGGGATCAGGCGCGCTCGCACTGAGCCACACTTTCCGTGCACTTTCATTGGCACAGTGTGGGGCAAGCCGATCCTGTTACCCCAGAAACCTCGTCGGACCGGGATCAGGTTCAGCTTCGCAGCAATGATGCCGCCACGGATAGCTGTTGCCACCTCCTTTGCGCACTTGGAACCCAGACCGATGTGGCCGTTGGTGTCGCCCACCAAGACGTAGCACACAAATCTGTTGGTCTGACCGGCGGAGGTCATCTTCTGCACGGGGTGAATCTTCAGCACCTCGTCCTTCAAGCTTCCAGGAGGGTAGAAGTGATCAATGATCTCCGGCTCCTTGATGGGCAGGGAGTGCAGGTAGATCTCCTCCAGGTTGTTGATCTTGCTGTCGTTCACCAGCCGTCCCAGCTTGGTCATCGGAACCCATTGCTTCTCCTCCTGCTTTCCCTTGCCCTTTCCCTTTCCCTTGCCCTTCTTGCCTTTGCCCTTCCCTTTGTCTCCAAAGCCTCCCTTGCCAAACCCACCTTCTCCTCCCATG